GGCCCAGCTGCTCCGCGGCATGTGGGATCTTCCCGGACCGGGGCACGAACCCGTGTCCCCTGCATTGGCAGGCGGACTCTCAACCACTGCACCACCAGGGAAGCCCAAGACTTTCTTTTTAATGAATTAGAAATTGCGATCAGCCATGACCTTGAAGAATCGCTGAGGGGACAAAGTGATCTTATCATGGAGGCACAAATGGATGACAGTGCAAAGGGTTTAGCATAGCTGCGACCCCTATCCTTTGCATTCACCTCTGCAAGGGGAAGGCTTCTGGGAGAACATCTGTGACTCTGCCTGGGGACGTTTTTTTTCTGGCTGTGGGAGCATATTTGTGCTCAGGGCTAGCCAGGAATGGTAGAGGGTTAATGCTTCCAGACGCAGCCCTCAACTTTCAGACAGGAAGTTGACCAATACTATTTTAGTTTCTTTGCCCCTCAGGTGGGATCTCCTGAGACAGGTTCTACACTGCCTTCTAGAATTCCCCAGCAGGACTGAGCCCCAGTTGCTCCACCTGCTCTATCACAACATTTCATTAGCTTCCTCCCCTTTCCTGTCTCACTTCTCCACTTCTATACCAGTGTTCCTTAGCATGACCTCCCAGATAAACTCCTTGCACTCAAAGTCTTGACTCACATCTGCTTTTAGGGAACCCTGTTGTCTTAGTCAGTTTAGGCTGCTATAACAAATTACCATAGTCAGGGTGACTTAAACAACATTTATTTCTCACAGTACTGGAGGCCAGCAGATCTGGTGTCTGGTGAGGGTCCACTTCCTGGTTCTCAGATGACTGTCTTCTCGTTGTATTCTCACATGGTGGAGAGCAGAGAGAGAAAGTAAGCTCTCTGAAGTCTCTTCTTATAAGGGCACTAATTTCATCATGAGGGCTCCACCCTTGTGACCTCATTACCTCCCAAAGACCCCACCTCCAAATACCAGCACATTAGGGATTAAGGTTTTAACATATGAATTTTGAGGAGTGGGGGGACACAAACATTCACTCCATAGCACCTATCTAAGACAAATGGAAGAGAATCAAACATTAATCCTACCTTCCCGAATGGGTTATATGTCAGGGTAACAAAATAGTGGATAAAGAGAAATTTTTCCTCATAGACAATTCACAGCTAATAAATGAAGGAGAAATGACAAAATTAGAACATCTCCATTTCACACTTCTAATAATCCATCTAATAATAATAATGGATCTAGACAGTGATCATCAGTAGCCATTAGATTAGAAAGTTGATGAGTGTAGTGAGTTGACAGTTGGCCACAGATATATCCACGTCCTAATCCCTGAAATCTGCAAATGTTAACTTGCTTGGAAAAGGGTCTTTGTGGATGTCATTTATTACATGAATTCATTCCTGGAATTCAGTTAATGGTTTTGAGATGAGATCTTCCTGGATTAGCCAGGTGAGGCAAACCCAGTGACAAGTGTCCTTATGAGAGACGGAAGAAAAGACACAGGCACATGAAAAGGAGGAGGTGGAGATTGCAGTGATGCAACCAAAGGAGCCCAAGAACACCACCAGACACCAGAAGTTATAAGAGGCAAGAAACATTTCTCCTCAGAGTCTCCAGAGGGAGGGTGACACTGCCGACACCTTGAGTTTAGACTTCTGGCCTCCAGAGCTGTAAGAGAATACGTTTCTGTTGTCTTAAGCCACCAAGTTTGTGGCAGTTTGTTACAGCAGCTGTAGGAAACTAATACAGTGAAGAACTTTATAATGAGTGGATCAGACTTACACTACCTGAATTCACTGATCAACCTTAGCATCACTATTTTAGCCCAATAATCAGACACCATGTGCCTTTTGATGTGATGAAGGAGGAAGTATGCAGTATCACTTATTAAATACTCCTGGGGGAAAAAAAGTGAATGTTAATTTAATCAAACTTGTAAATATAATTACAGGGGATGGAGGAATATATTAAATGACACTTTGAGGATACACTCAGCTAAATCAAGACTGTGGGAAACCTGATAGGAAAAAGACCGAGTTACATAAACAAACAAGATGGCATAGATAAAATGAAGGAGGAAGTATTATGGCTTAAAAGATACTTAAAGGGGCTTCCCTGGTGGCGCAGTGGTTAGGAGTCTGCCTGCCAATGCGGGGGACACGGTTCGAGCCCTGGTCTGGGAAGATCCCACATACCGCGGAGCAACTAAGCCCGTGCGCCACAACTACTGAGCGTGGGCTCTAGAGCCCGCAAGCCACAACTACCGAGCCCACGCGCTGCAACTACTGAATCCCACGCACCTAGAGCCCGTGCTCCACAGCAAGAGAAGCCACCACAATGAGACGCCTGCGCGCCGCAATGAAGAGCAGCCCCCGCTCGCCACAACTCGAAGAAAGCCTGTGCACAGCAACAAAGACCCAATGCAGCCCCCCCCCCAAAAAAAGTTAAAAAAAAAAGATACTTAACCCAAAACAACTAATCAAATGCAATGTGTAGACCTTAGTTGGATCCTGGTTTGAGCAAATAAACTCATTATAAAGTTATATTTTTAGACATTCAGGAGAAATTGATCATGAACTAAATGTTAGATAACATTAATTTTGTTGGAGGAGTGTGATAGTAAATTATGCTTGTTTGTTTAAAAAAAAATTTTTTTTTTGCCACACTGGGTGGCTTGTGGTAACTTAGTTCCCCAACCAGGGATTGAACCTGGGCGCTTGGCAGAGACAGCATGGAGTCCTAACCACTGAACTGCCAGGGAATTCCCAGAATTATGGTTATTTTTAAGTCATTATCTATTAGAAATATATACTGAGTATTTACAGTTGAAATGATAGGCTATTTGAGATTTGTTTTAAGATACTCCAGCAAAAAACAAACACAAATGAGAGGATTCAAGAAACAAGGATAATTTTGAAATCGTCAAGCTGGAGGATTTGTTATTCTGTTCCCTCTATTTTTTGAGTACCTTTTAAATTCTCTATAACGAAAAAATAATAGTAATAGCAATATGAAGAGTAGTTGTAAGAACTTGTGGTCATATGTTTCTACGGGCAAAGAAACAAAGCTTTGCAGCAAATGCAAATCTCCTCCCATGACCGTTTCTCATATGGTCTCTTGACAAATGCTGAAGGCATTATACTGAAGACAAGCCATCTTCCTACAGGCTGAGCTGCAAGGCCTTAGATCTTGGCTTCCTGGGGTTCTGACTCCATAATAGGAGTGGGGGGACACAAACATTCACTCCATAGCACCTGTCTAAGACAAATGGAAGAGAATCGAACATTAATCAAATATTAAGAGAATCAAACATTAGAAAACCCAGAAGATTGGGGGAGTGGGTGACTACCAATATGTCTAATATATCCCAGAATTTAGCCTGCCCTCCTTGCTGTTGGTGGTCAACATTTGTGCTGGTGCTGTTCACCAAACAGTTCCAATTCTACTTCTAGGTCAAAATAAGATTGCTCTTTGCTGCCCCCTTCTGGTTGAGTGGGGTCATGTAATTAGTTTTGGAGAATTGAGTTGTGGAAAAGACAGTTGTCCCTGGGGCCTGTAGCTATCAACTGCTTGTATAAGACCCTCCAGAGCTCTTTTTATTTTTTCCTTCTGGCATGGTGATTGATGGCATATGAGATGGTGGCTGCTCTGTCACCCGGGGTCCCTGAATAACTAAAATGAGAAGAGCCCCATTATTGACCACAATACATGTAGCTAGAGTGAGAAATAAACCTTTATGGTTTAAGCCACTGAGATTTGGGGGTTTTTTGTTATCACAGCATAATTTAGCTTATCCTGACTAATCAGTGCCATACAACAACGGATACTACAGGCTACCTAGTAAGAACCTGAATAGGAATGATTATTTTTGTTCTGTTACTCTCATTATTACTCATTAATTATTATAGGTACCACTTACTGAGTGCCTCTTATGTGTACCAGGCATGTACTATGCAGTCGATGCATTGTCTCAATTACTGTTCACAGCAAACTTGGGAGGCAGATCTTATTATCCCATGACCAAGATGAAAAAACCAAAGCTTAAGAACTGGAACAAATATTTCATTTGCTATATGAGGATTATTGAAGATGATGTTCATTCAGTCGTCCTCTGTCCCTTATATAAAGTCCCATGGGATGAATTCATTTGACAATGATTGCAAGAATCCTCTTGGAAGGCAATTTTACAACATGTATGAAGTGTCATTAGGAAGTTCATACCCTTTGCTCCAGTCATGACTATTCTCTAGCCCAGGCTTTCTGTGGTGTAGTTAGATTGCTTGAACAGTAATAAACAAACAAACATACAAATAAAATGTATAGAATATAATATATATTAAGGAAAATGAATTAATGACATTGGAGTTTGTCTCTTGAGTTACTGGTATGTTTCTTTTAGCCAGTTGTTAAGAATGCCCCTGGTCCAGTTGCCACTTTTGCCCTGGCAGTCGTGATGGTGGTGAACGCTAAACCCAATGCACATAACCACCCTGCAGTATCAGCCCTGCGAGAACCTTATTGTGTCCGTTAACCTCCTCCTCCTTCTGAGGGCTTAATTTCCCATCAGCTGTTAACAGCGGAATGACTTTCCTTCCTTTAATAGCAATCATGTAAACCCTTCTGGGAGACTGGCAGGATACAAACACATTTTGAAATATGTTCAGGTCCACCTTATATTTGTTCTGTGGTGCCCAGGGGCTAGGCCTCGGGGGTTGGAGCGCTCCTGGCAGATTTGAACTAGAGTAATCTTAAGTGGGTGTGTGGCGCCCCCTCGTGGTGCCTGGTACAACACCACCCTGGATTCACTTGCTCCTATCCGTGACCAGGCCGTCCACGGTGAATCCAACCCTCTTCCGGACTTTTGGTGCCCTCTCCTCGCAATCCCTACTCTCTTGCAGGTTCACCCCTCAGGGGCAGTAGCCTCTGCTCTTACTCTGTCTTCCTAGGCGCGCTGTCAGCACGCTGGGTCCAAGGCCATCCCCCTCATCCCCCCACGCCTCGCCGCGGCGCTTACAGCTTCACCCAACACAAAAAGTCCTCGAGTTATTTTATTGCTGTATATAGAAGTCAGTTAATGCCCCCTCGACTCCCCTTCCGTCACCTAGCAGTGGCTGCCTCGTCTGCCGGGGCGCGCGAATCGCCGCGGGTCCGAGGGTCGTAGCCGCGCACCGCCACCGGGTGCGCCACCACTTCCCCTCCCCGACGCCGGGCCAGTCGGGATCCTCGGCCTGCAGCCCTCGGCCGAGAAGGCGGGTCAGGAGGGACTGCTCCTCGTCTGATGGAAGGGGAGGCTCGCGGGAAAGGGGCGGCGAGAGACCCCTGACACGACTCCCAGGCTTTGTCGCGCGCGCTGGAGGGGCGCTGTGGGCCCCTATTCGGAGTAGCAGTAGGTCCCGTAGGCTGCCTGCTGGGGTCTGGGGAAGCCGAAGCTGCGCACTCCGGGATCCGGGAGGCCCCCGCAGCGCGGCCGAGGCGTGGTGATGGGGAAGCGCACGCTGCCATCCGCCAGCCAGCCGCCGTCGCATTGGTCCAGCCCGGAGAACTTCCAGGCTGCATAGAGGTGCCCGACCTTGGCCACCACGGCCCCGCGCCGCCGGCACGCCGCGTGGGCTTCAGACAGCGTCAGCCGCCCCGGCACGAAGAACACTTGGCCTGGGGACCGAAGCGGGTCACCGACTGATCCAGAGAAGGGCCAGCCGGGGCGCAGCGGGATTCAGACTCCCAGGGAGCAGAGTCGGGGGGGCATGTGTGGTCGGGTGGGTCCGAGCTTGGGTAGGAGGAGTGGGAGTAACGAGACGGGGGGTGCGGGTGAGGTTGCGGGAGACAGGCTGGAGCCTGAGTGGGCGGAGTGACGGAGGGGCGAGGCCTTCAAGAGACCACGGAGCTGGCCCGGGATCTCAAGCCACTTGCCTTCTACCTTCCCGGCCCCATCCTTCAGGTCCGGGTCCTGGCCCCGCTCGCCCCGCCCCGCCTCATTCACAGGCTGAATCCTCCTCCTTCGCAGCCGGTCAGGCCACGCCCCCTCCGGTGCTGAGGCTGGCTAGCCCCGCCCCCTTACCTGACAGCTCAGAGGTAAAGCAGAAGGCGTCGTAGCGGTCGCGCTTCCGGTCGCGGGGCCCGTAGCTGCGGATCCCGGGCCGACCTGGGCCACCGCACGGAGCGCGCGCCGTGAGCACAGGGTAGCGCACGGAACCCTCGAGCAGCCAGCCCGCGTTACACCAGTCCAGACCCTCGGTCCACGCTGGGGGGAGATGGCGGGGGGTGGGGGTTGTGTAGGGCGATTAGAGGCGTCACAGGCGGGAGCAGACCCGGAGTTCGCCTCCACTGGGGCCCACGTGACAGCCCGGAGGGCGCCTGGGCTGTGCCGGGGTTCGGCCGCTCACCCTGGTACAGCTGAGCGTAGGTGGCCAGGCGTCCGTCTTGCTCCTCGCACGCCTGCTTCGCCTCGTAGTAATTGAACTGGTACCTGCCCCGGCTGGGCTGGTACGGAAACACCACACCTGGGGAGTGGCAGACAGCCTGGGGAGGGCAGGCAGAAGGAGAGGGGGAAGGAAGGGCGGTGCAGCCTAGGAAAAAGGGCTAGGGGGACCCCGGGAGCAGGCGGGGGAGAGGCTGGGGAGGACCCCTGGGAGGCCTGAGATGAGACAGCCGAGCCACCCCTGGAGAGGAGCGGGGCAGTAACCGAAGGGCCTCACCCTCCAGGCGAAGGGTCAGCGCCACACTCTCGTCCTCAATGCCATTGATGAGCTCACAGCGGTACCGGCCCTCGTCCTCCAGGCGCACGCCCGCGATGACCAGGGAGGCGTCTAGCCGATGCCCCCTTCGCATCCTGGCACGCCCCCCCAGGGGCCCGTAGCCCCGGGCGTGCAGTCCGTTGGTGATGAGGATGGGCGTTTCCTGGAGTTCCCCCGGCTCCACTTTGCTCCAGCGCACCTTGTAGCTGGGAGGCGGGGCGCCCAGGACGCAGGGCAGCGTGGTCGTGGCCCCACGACGAGAGTGAATGACCTCGTGGATGGGGGGCAGGAGGTAGTGGGGGCCAGGGTGGGGCGCTGAGCAGAGGGGGCCACAGTGGCAGGAACCCCCGACCCTCAATGCCCCAAGTGCCTACCCAGATCCCCTTACCCCAGGCTCCCCCAACCCTCTGCTCCATTGCTCACTCAGCAATGACTCTCAGCCCCAGAGTATCTCCAACAGCTGCCCTTTCCACTTTCCCCACCACTGTTCCCCAGATTCTGGGCAGAGCTAAGGTCTTACCTGAGTCCCCCAGGGCTCTGTGGAAGGTGGTGAAGGCCCAAGGGAGAAGGAAGTGGCAGAGAGTGGGGAGACTGATCCTGCCTTGCATGATGGGGAGTCAGCCCAGCACAGTCTGCAGGGCACAAAGGGTGGGCATTCCTTAGGACTAAGGGAATGGGGTGGAGGGAACAAGGTAGATCTCCCATCAGGGATTCCTGAGAGGGAACTGTCCAGCTGGAAGCCATGAGGGCAGAAAAAGGGGCTGAAGTTGTTAGCAAAAGGAAGGTAATGGGGGAGGGGCAGTAACTAGCTCCACTCCCTGCCAGGCCTCCTGAGCCCATCCCGCCTCCTCTCTCACATCCCTTCAGTCAGCAGGTCCTAACTGAGCACCTCCTCTACCTATCCATTCTCAGCACCAGTTGTACTTCCCAAGTCTCGCCTTCTGGATGGCCAGCTGTGGTCTCTGTCCTCTCCCAATACCCATTCTTCATCTGAAGCCAGAGTAAATGTGGTCTTGTCACTCTCCTGCTTTAAACAGTGACTCCCCATTGCCGTGAGGATCAAATCCAGTGTCCGAACCCAACTTCCAAGGCTCTCTGTGATCCAGCTTCTCCCAGCACCTCCAGCATTGCCCCCCCCCCCACCCTACCCCTCACTACCTGTGCCCTCTGCGCTGTGCTCCAGACATGTTCTGGCTCCAACACAGTCCAAGTTCACCCTCACCTTCTTCTTACAGGCAATCAGTTTGGGCCTCACCTCCTCTGGGAAACCTTTCCCCTCCCCTCCACTTCATCACGCTGTAGTGCACTGTGATCTACTCCTCTGGTTCCCCTACTGCCTTGGACTGGGGACTTGTTTTCTTAGAAGTAGTTCTATTAACAGCGAAATTAGCAGTGTGGATCTGAAAGTAATACATATGCATATGTAGACTATGTCAGTGAGCTTTCCAGTAATTATCAAGTATAAAATTATAAGGCTATTAAAAATGATTTCAGGGCTTCCCTGGTGGCGCAGTGGTTGAGAGTCCGCCTGCCGATGCAGGGGACACAGGTTCGTGCCCCCGTCCGGGAAGATCCCACATGACGCGGAGCGGCTGGGCCCGTGAGCCATGGCCGCTGAGCCTGCGCGTCCGGAGCCTGTGCTCCATAACGGGAGAGGCCACAACAGTGAGAGGCCCGCGTACCGCAAAAAAAAAAAAGAAAAGAAAAGAAAAGAAAAGATTTCAAACACAATTGTCTATTTCAGTAGTTGATTTTCCCCCCTTCTTTATTCTATTCTTTATTCTTTATCACCTTGGCCATTTTTTAAAAAAATTAGACTAAAGACCCCTTAACCTAGTTTTATTCCTTTCTGAGATCTGATTCCTCCACTTCCTAATCGCATGACTTTGAACAAGTTGCTTAACCTCTCTCTGCCTCAATGTCCTCATCAGTAAAATGTGGTGAATAGTAGCACACCTACCTCACTGAGCAGTTGTGGGGATTAGAAGAATGTATGTAAAATGCTTAAATAGGTCCTGATATCTAGTAAGGGCTATGTATATGTTAGCTGTTATCTGCAGCTCCCGGCATAGTTTCTGGCACACAGTAGGTGCTAAACAAATATGTGTGTTAATGAATGAGCTCACATTAAGGACTTCTGGGAAGGAGAGCAGGGACACGGCAAGAGGAAGGCAAGACTGAGGAGGAGTCGGAAAGCTAAGGAGCTGGACTCCGTCTTCTTGCAGATGAAGGCCAGAGCTGAGCATGCAGAAGAGACAGGGTTTAGGTGCAGAAAGGACTTCCCAATGGTTAAAAAGGAAAGCATCTGGGACAGGGACCTGAGCGAGAGAACACGTCTCCTGTACAGGAGAACCTGGTAAGCGCAGTGAGAGTGGGAACTGAGACCGATTGAGGGACCCATAGTAATGACAGCCTGCACCAACATGTTTAAAGTTTAACGTGCCTGAAACTGCTCTAGGCACTTCACATGTACACTTTTATATCTACTCCCCTTAGCAATCCCGTGAGGTAGGAACTACTATGGATCCCACTTTTATATGCTCAGAGGTGCTCACATGTCAGGATACTTGAGTGAGGTCACACAGCTAGTAAGAGGAGGGCTTTGCTGGGACTTGAATCCAGACCTGACGTGAGGTTCGAGCTCTTAGTCACTGATCTGTCTTTCTGTTTCTCAAAGCAGGCACACGCTTATCTTCTTCATACCCTTTACAGAGAAAGAGCGCGGCTAACAGCTCCAGTGCCTCCCCCCACCTTTTTTTTTCCACTTATAAAGTCTTATTTAAGTTAAATATTCATAACTTTGGTGAGACACTTTTAGGTATAGAATAAAATTATTTCACTGATAATTATTTTATGAACATTCTGATCAACAGTACTGTGTAAGATATTTTGACACTGACCTGTTAGAAGTGGGCCTCTTCACAGAGATGGAGGGAGCAGTGACTAGCAGCTTTTTGTCCTGCTGGAGGAAGAGGTTCCAGGTGAAGGAGTTGCCTGGGCCCCTGGGAGGTCCAAGCATCTAAGAGCCCCAGGACTTGGACCCCTGATCATCGTACTCTCTCCTTTCACACCTTTGAGGAAAGGCTTCTGCCCTGAGTTCAAAGAAATCAAGGTACCAAAAACTCCCCCACTCATCACTCCACTAAGCCAGGCTAAGTGACTAGGGTCCAGCTCTGTGGCCGGGCACTGTGTCTGTGGCACTCACTGTCCTGGGCCCAGGGGAAGACACGGCTTAGGAAGAGGCATGGGAACCCATGAAGAGGGATGGAGTAAAGGAGACAACCCAGGAATAATTACCTGGAATATTGTGGAGAATGGGGTGCCTCGTTTCTTCTAGATGCTCTTAGACCAGAGAAAGGATGGATTAATGGGTGGGTATAAGGATGTTGGACCGATGGGCATGGAGTGAACTACAAATGAGGCTCAAAGATCCGTAAGTGTCAAGTTCCAGCTGCCTCCGCTTTTCCATACGGGCCTACTCTGCGTAGCACCACTCCACCTCCCCCAACAAAGCCCTCACCTCTGCCCTCCGGTGCCTGGGTGCGCATTGCCTATGGGAAGAGGCTCTCAAGGTGGGAATCAGACTTCCAGGACCTCCAGTTGCTTCAAAAACCCTGACCCCTTCTGTCCACCTCCCCTGTCTGTCATCTGTCTGTCCTTTCCTTCTCTGTCTCCACCCCATCGGAAGCACAATTTCCCATTGTCTCCTTCTTTTCCCCTATTGTTGAATAACAGGGGCCCTTTCTTTATCCTGTGGGTAATGGCAACGAAATGTCAACAGCTGGGGATGTGGGATGCAGGACCGGCTGGCACATGCCACCGGAAAAAGGGCCTGGGTGGAGGCGGGCTCAGAACAGGAACTGACATCCCCAAGGAGGAGAAAATGGGGAGAGGGAGAGAGAAGTTTTGTGAGAAGGTTGAAATGAGGTCTCCCTCAATACTCAAGTTTCACGGCTCTAAAGAGATTTTGTGTAAGGCCGGGGAAATGGCTGAACTCCATGGAGAGCAGAGTGAGAAGTCAGCATTGCACGGGGAGAGATGGAAATTAGATAGCACAGAGGATTTTGCTGTCTCTGGGAAGGACATGGGAATTTCTGAGGATGGAAAGATTTTGGAAAGTTCTCCGAGAGAGGGCATCTTATTTGTTCCCTAGTTCCCCATCGCCTCCTTCAGCAGATGGATAATCTTAAAGTTCTCAAGAGACAGGAGATCCTTAACCTCCCCGAGTGAAGGTTCACTTCTCTAAAATCCCTCTTATTAGGAAGTCTAAACTCCTACTGGAGTTTAAGCTCATTTTTTATTTATTTTTTTAAATTTTATTTATTTATAAGAGGTATGTGGGCCTCTCACTGTTGTGGCCTCTCCCGTTGTGGAGCACAGGCTCTGGACGCGCAGGCTCAGCGGCCATGGCTCACGGGCCCAGCCGCCCCGTGGCATGTGGGATCTTTCCAGACTGGGGCACGAACCCGTGTCCCCTGCATCAGCAGGCGGACTCCCAACCACTGCGCCACCAGGGAAGTCCTAAACTCATTCTTTAAACCTTTCTATTGAGATATAATTTACATACAACAAAGTGCAGATCCTAAGGGTACAGCTCAATAAATTTTGACATGTGTACACACCCTGTAACTACCCAGCCCCAGATTAAGATATAGAAGGTTTCCAACACCCAGAAAAAGTGCATTTCTTTTTTGTTTGCTGTCAATGCAAAGGGAGCACTTCCCTCCATAAACAGACATTTAGAAATGTTTCGAGCTTCAAATCGCCTCTTGCCCTTCTTTTCTCTCTGCAACCCGACATCAGTGGCTTCACGTTACTAAATCCTACACTTTCAGGATCCTTAGCTTCCTCATTTACCAGAGGGAAGGGAAAGTGACTTGTCCAAGACCACACAGAATGCAGTTGTTGAGTCAAGCCTAGAACGTTCTGCTTTTCCGGCTAATCCCTCTTCCACTCCTCTCCTCGACCCTCCGAGTCAGCCCCGGAGTTGCAGGGTCTTCACTGGGGCCATATTTGACAGCATGGAGCCCACCCCGATGGTGCTCTTTAAGGATTGGATTGACTTTTTCCTGTCCGCTCCATCCTTTCCTAAACCCTTCCCTCTTCCTCCCAGAGAGAAGGACAAACGAGAACAGACAAATAGCCGCCTGTCTCCTCTGCCAGGACACCCTGATCCCGCGCATCTGATTGGCTTCCGCCCAATACAAACAAACAGCCTTACGCGGAGGGGGAGGTATAAAGCCTCCATGGCCTGACCGGTCGCACCCTGATTCCCAGGCTCACCCCTCGCTGCTCCTTTCTCCCCAGACCACTTCTGAGTTGCGGTTTGGAAGTCTCTGGTGTATAAATCCGTAAAAGGCTGAGTTTGGCAGGGAGGAAGGCCTAGAACTATGCGATAGATGCAAAGAGAACCCCTTGAGGATGGAATGAGAAAGGAACAGACCAAGAATAAATACAGCGTGAATAACCAAACTGTTCAGTCTGCTCAGGTCACATTCATTCTCAGTTCTTCCCGAAGACACTACGAGACAGGAATGAGGTAAGACTGCTCAAGCTTGAGTTGGCATCTTTTCTGGCACCTTCTGAGGAGAAGCCTTTGCCACTCCTGCTGCCTACCAACCAGGGTGAGGTGGAATCATCTAGGAGGAGCATGGAGTCCTGACACCTCTTTCCCTGACACCCCAGACTCAGCCGCCACCCTCCAGGCATGTTCAGCAGACTAATTTTCTGGATCTTTGGTGACGGCAAGCATGGGCCCAGTTTACTATGGGATTGTTGCATGAAGGACTGGGAAAGTCGGCAAAATGGTACTTTAGGGCACATAGCAGGGAAGGGCCAGGTGTGCCGGGGTTGGGGGGGTGGGGGGGGCTTCCCTCTCCTTCCAGTGAAATTTGCGTTCACCCCCACCTGCCTCGGCCGGCCGCCGCAGAGTCTCCAGCAGACGCTGCAGGGCCCTCTCTCGCTCCTCCTCTGCTGGGTCTCACCTTTCTCCTCCTCCTGGGAGCCCCCAGGCTTCCTCTTGCTTCTAACCCAGGCTCAGGCCTTTTGTGGGGCTGCATCCTGGCTGCACTGCAGGACCATGTGCGGGGTGAGCCTGGGGGAGTCAGCCTTGTGGAAAGACGTGTTTTCCGCTCAGGATGCCTCACTGTACCCTGAACAGCCTTTGTCCTGTAGACAGAGTCAAGGGTGGGAAGGAAGGGGAAGATGTGGCCCATGCCCTTGGGTGGGGGGTGGGCTGCCAGTCTGGAGGGGGCATGAGGCCGCATGGGCTAATGGGAAGAACACTGGACCATGAATCAGGAATCCCGTTCCTGCCAGATGCTGACTTCCTATGAGACTCTATACCAACCTCCTGGAGCTTCAGTCTCTCTAATTATCGAATGGGCACCACACCTGCCCGATGGGACTGGCTGGTGTGAGGGTGATGGAGCAGCCTTCTACCAGCCTTCTACCCAGCACGCTGTGAATGAGGTTCACTGTTATAATGTTTGGTTCAAATTGGAAAACTGCTAGAGAAGGGGAGAATGAGATTGGAAAGAGCTGAGATCCGTTAGACCCCCTCATCCTTGAACATCCTTGAACTAGCCACACCCTCCAAGAACAATGGGGGCCCCTCATGGGGCTGGGGTCTCTTTCTAAACAGTGAGGGTGTCCCTCTCTGTATTTCCATCTCTGTGGAGAACAGGGGGATGTCACCACCCATGCCTAAGATGCCACGTGGAACCCTGACCGTGCCCCATCTCAAGCTGCCCCGCCCAGCCCAGGAGTCCTGACAGAACTCAGTTCCCTGGTTGTCACTCCAGCCCCTTGATTTGGGGCTCTTGAGAAGTGGGACCCACAGTGCCCACTTCAGTACTGATCAGAACCTAGAAACTAGAAGCAAAGATGTCCAGAGGCATCCTCTATGGGCAGCGTCTTCCTGGCTCTGAAAGGTCTTGAAAGACAACAGTGGGGATATCTGGTTGTCCTCATCTCAACCTGGCAAATGTTCAGGTTCCTCAACCATCTCTATCCTGAGGGTGTGGTGGCTGAGGGGTGCGGCCAGGGTAGTGCTTTTTCTGAATTCCCCCTTTTCTGAAGGGCCTCAGGGTGTAGAGAACTGTGTGAGCAAATGCAGTACATGAACTTAGGAAGGTCTTGACCTTATGAAGTGCTCAGGCTAGTGGGATAACACCTGTCCTATCGCAGAGGTAGATGAGGGTAATAAAATGTTGGAAAGTGCAGAGAACAGTAAAAGACAAATGTCTAGAAGTTGTTTTCATGGTTACTAAGATTTAACAATTATATTTTACATATTACTAATCATGTCTCTGTTTGTCACAGTCAGTTCATGGCTATATTCAAGTGCGCCATTTAAATTGTACTTTTGGGGTGCAGCTACTGTGGAAAACAGGATGGATGTTCCTCAAAAAACTAAAAATAGAGTTGCCGTACGATCCAGCAATCCCACTTCTGGGCAAATATCTGGAGGAAACTATAATTCGAAAAGATACCTGCACTCCTATGTTCATAACAGCACCATTCACAATAGCCAAGACAAAGAAGCAACCTAAATGTCCATTTACAGATGAATGGATAAAGAACATGTGGTACATGTATATAATGGAATACTACTCAGCCATAAAAAAGAATGAAATAATGCCATTTGCAGCAACATGGATGGACCTAGAGATTATCATACTAAATGAAGTAAGTCAGACAGAGAAAGACAAATACCATATGATATCACTTATATGTGGAATCTAAAACATGACACAAATGAACTTATCTATGAAACAGAAACAGACTCACAGACATAGACAACAGACTTGTGATTGCCAAGGTGGAGGACGGTTGGGGAGAGAAGGATTGGGAGTTTAGGATTAGCAGATGCAAACTATTATATATAGGATGGATAAACAGCAAGGTCCTACTGTATAGCACAGGGAACTATATTCAATATCCTGTGATAAACCATATAAAAATATGAAAAAGAATGCATATATATGTATAACTGAATCACTTTGCTGTACAGCAGAAACTAACACAGCACAGCAAATCAACTATACTTCAATAAAATCAATTTTAAAAGATAAAATTGTGTTTTTGTTCATCTACCTCTGCAAATACCTTGAGATTCCCGAGTCCTCATTTTATCAGCCCTTCTCACACTCCCAGGCCTCAAGTCTTGCTCTCTCAAATCCCTGCTTCTGTTCTCGTTCAAGGCAGTCTAAGTTGGATCTGACTTTACTTTGTACAGACTCTCACTCCCAGTCACACGTTAGTCAAACTTAAGCCCAGAAGTAAGAAGATTTGCAAGTATTAATCAACCGTTCTCAGGCCAGAATGTGAATAATTTAAAAAAGTGAGCCCTAACTTATAGCTCTACATTCTCTCACATGGGAAACATAAATACTCTCACAGTATTAACATTCCCATTTTATGGACAAAGAAACTGATGTCTAGAGAAAGTTAATTGTTAGTGAGTAACCCAGGGAGCTCATCTCCGAAGGTAGATGAGTTCTTCCCTTCTGTGGAAGAATAATTCCTCCAAACTTAGAAAAGGTAAAATGAGAATTGCTTTTTTTTGTTGGTTGTTGGGCGTTTTGTTTTGGGGGGGGTTGGTTTGGTTTGGTGTCGCTCTAGAGCATCGTCTAAAAGTTTGCTTGACACTCAACTGACTCTCCTGGAGAATGTAAATTGTTGTTATAGTATATTTGATAAATAATCTACAACCAAAAAAAGATGAAACATTTACAGTCTGTATGGTTAGTGGTTAACTTGGAGA